AGGTACTGTTGCAATCAGCTATCACGGAACTAAATATGATGTATGATATTAGAAAGACATTCAGGAACAATTCTGAAGACTAAATATATGATGAATTATGTATATGTACACATACACACACACACAACTATATCCTTTTCTATTACTGCCTATAAATTGTCTTTTGCCTTCCTAGATGTGGGCGTTTATCTTTGATATATTCCTCATTTTTGTGCTGAAACTGCTTTGGAAATATCAAAAGGAATTAATGCATCTAGCAGGCAGCTCGAAACCAAGTGTCACCAGCCTTGAGGACTTCCAATTTCCTAACGTAAAAAATGGCTGATTATAGGGAGACAGTTCAATCAGGTGAGTTTGGAACCAAGTCCAAAGAATAACAGATCTGAAATCAAAAGGAGGAGTCATTTGATAGCTGGGGGAAATCTTATTCTAAGAGTAGAAACAGAGCAGGAATCAAGCTAATAGAACAAAGGCAAAGAGAAGAAATTGATGCTTCCTGTCAAGAGGCAGTGACAAAATCCAAACCTCTCACTGAAGAGAAGAAAATAAGTCAGAAACTTCCAGTGAGGGCTGCACTGTTTTCCATACATCTACATGTTTCCAAGATAAGGGATTGAACCTCAAGTACATGCCCATAGACATAGGGACAGAGAACATCCATAATTCTGCTAGATCCAGCATCCAACAGCACAGAAGAAGATTATATCAGATCTACAGAGAAAGGTAAAAAAAGTAAAAAAGTTAGACTTCAGTTCTTAGAAGGCAGATCATGAACCATCTCTAAACTGTGAGCCACGTAACTTTGTTAGAATAGTGCTGTAAAGAAAGTACAGTTTTTTGTCACCTTAGACACAGTTATAAATGAGATGCCGTCCAGAAACTTTACATCTAGCTCACATGGAATACTGGTGAAGCAACGGATTGTTCCTAGTCATAAAAGAAAACTCAAAAATACAGCCAGATTCCCATGTCTTACACATCAGCCTGTCTGGAATAATGCAGGTTTAAATCAGACAGGGATCTGTTCTGAGAACTGATCAAATGTGTTAGACAAGAAGGACGTAACACACCTACATTAGGATATTTGTCTACCATTAATTGCAATAGTGGCTTCCACGCAAAGAGCCAAAATTCCAGGGAGGAAATCATATGATTCTAAAAATACATTTCAGAATCAACCAGTTATCTCAATTGTCATCAGAAAAAAAACTACGAAGCTAGCTTTTGATTAGGCATTAATTCGTAACACAGTTGCTCATATTTCATCTCAAAAGCGTGGAATAATCTGTTTACATCAGGCTATGATAAAAGATGTACTGAAAACGTTAGAAACATCTCACTTCAGAATTCTTTCACGTGTGTAACAAAAAGATCAACTCCTATGACATTACTACTCAGAAGAACCAGTGTGTTCACTTGACTTTCAGATTCTTTGCAAAACTCACCTCTTCCTTCAGAAGCCACTACCACAATGCCCAAGATCCCCAACTAACATTCAGGACAGCATGCCTGAAGAACAAGTTAGATCATACATCTCAAGGATAAGAGATACTCTTAACGTGTGAATAAACTGGTGACAAATTCCTATACAGTTTTCTACAGTGTAAAGAATTCAAATGGATTTTCCTGATGGAATCACCCTCTTTACTCTAAACGGCAATTCACAGTATCTCTGACTGGAAGCAGTTCAATCTGTTGACAAATTTTAAGAGATTCACTGACTTTCCAATGTTGTTAGCTATATTAATAAGAAAAGCAACACAGGAAACCTGAAGGGAGAGCAGATAAAAAAATCAACACTGAAATTAATCTTTAGCACTTGTGTATTTTTTCCTATTCACTATAAACACTAACCTACGCTCAACCTCTCCAAAAGTTGGAGGACTCTTGGATCCTTTGTTCTCATTTCACACAACAGAGGTTTTAAATGAAAATATCCTATAAGCTTGGATTTTACAAGCTACAATTGATAAGCAGATTTCTGAAGATGCAAGATACAGGTACAGGCTATATACTAAGGAAAGCATAATGAACTAGACATCTGGCTGTTCATAGGGCAGTGTCTGAAAATTACACTGAAAGCTATTTCTTTGCTGCTTGCAGCCAAGTATTTCTGTGGCAAGCTTTTCAGTAACAACATAAATAAAAAGATAACAGAAGAAAACAAATCAGTGCCTTACATAAAGAAAAACTAAAATGTATAATCAGTCAAAAAATAAGGATCCATTCAATTACGAAGCCTAGTTTTCCAATGTTGCACAACTGTGCTGACCACATGTCAAGACTTGTCGTGACAGTCTATTCCTAGTTCATGTAGTTGTTGTTTCCAACAACCACTACTAAATTTTACACAAGTCTTTAAGTTCCTATATATTTTTCTAAATCAGCAGACTGGGAGTGGAGAGAGACATTATTAGTTATTACACTGAGCCAAGGTCAAGAATTCTGACATCATCCATCTTGTCCGGCTGGCTACTGCATTGGCCAGATAATTAGCACAAAAATTGCCACTGATGATGGAGAAAAAGTTGATATTTCAGTATTTAAAAACACAGAATAGTTAGAAGTTTTAAAGAGGGGTGATGAATCAGCCTTAGAACATGGGATGATCTGTGGCACTGTGCAACAGTGGCAAAAAAGAACGGGAAGGTAGCTAGGTTTATTACACATGATGGAAGTGTGAGGATACAGATAAACCTATTTGCTTCATGATCTGTTTTAACTTTCCTTCATTTTGTTCTAGCACAATGCAACATAGAGAAGCTTCTTTGTCATCACTTCTTTTTTTTTCTAAACTTTAAACATGCAACTGAGACAAGATTGAACAGTTCAACCACTTCAAGTTGGCTAAGCAACAGTTAGTGCCCTAGGAGAACTCCACCCCCACGTTTCAAATCCATCCCTTCTCTTCTTTCATAAAAGAATATAAAGGCACAGACCTTTTAAACACAGGGTTAGACAGTTTACATATAAACATATCTAGAACTACTTAGACTGGTTGGATTAAAATCCATGTGAGTCAAAATAAACGGAATCACCTGATTTTTAGGATCCTTATGTTAATTCCAGTTTGTACCTGGAAGCCCCAGTAATGCATGTCAAGAGTCAATGCATGAAAACTATAATCCCAAGGCAAGCACCTGAGGCTACTGCCAAATTATGATTTTTTTGGTATCACAGAAAACACATCAGAGAGATTAAAGATCATTCAATTACACTTTCAAGAAATAACATGTTTCTACAGAATCAACATTATATTACAAGTACATATTTTTGCAACAGCTACCATAAAATTTGAATATGAAATTTCAGCAAAGTCCTTTAAATCAAGAAACATCTATGTAATCTCAACTACTTCAATTACTTATAAATTTATCCAACTAAACTGTTTTTCAGAGCAAGAGCTAATAGCATGGTAAGAGCAAATTGCACCAGTAATTTTGTTTTAAACCAGACTTTATCAAATCATCATTCACAGGCACGTAAATATCATCTATTTATTTTCAATGATTTTCACGTGGTCTTCCTACAGATCAGTCTTAAGCAACACAATAATGACACTTCTGCTTTTCTACTATACATAACTACCACATATACAACATCTTTTCCTTTCAAAATAGAACACTGTACATTGGTATTTGTTAACTGCTGTAATACTCATTCAAACCTACTTAGATATACAACATAATTCATAAAGACAAATTCTAGGAGAAAATAATGAAAAGGAGTAAGGAATAAAAATAAAGAAAACCTTTCATCACTGCACACAACCATGCCTGCTTATATGTTTATCCCTTATTGTGAAGATGAAAACAATGGCTCCTAATATTATCAGATTTGTACTAGAAAAACTTTTATACATTTTCTGTATAACTGTTGTAATGCAAAGAAATAAAGGAAGCAGAAAAAGATACCTTTCTATCAGGCCAGACCAGAAGAGATTACACCACTACAGCTTCAATATACGTGTGTGTGTGTGTGTATACATGTGGTATACATACATACACACATATATATATACACACACAAGACATATAATAGCAATTCTATTAAGAAAGCTGCACACATAGAGTCCAAGTCCTACAGACTGAGTGAAACAAACAGCAGTCAAAACAGAGATATTCATAATAAATGGAAATTTCTTCCCAATTGGTTTTAAGTTTAAAAAACAACATCTCCACATAGTAAAAGTAAACTCAAGAGACCCACTTTTATTTATCTGTAGGGATTATTTAGTCGTGCCATTTCAAACTGTTAAAAAATGATCTATGTGTCAACGTGACACAGTATTTTTGTTTTAGAAATCATCTCACAGTTAACTCGTTAAAAGTAAAGATGGAAATACAGTGTGTTTCTCTTATGTCCAAACACAAAAGGAAAGGCACTTTTTCTCTAATTTACAGAAAAGCTGCATTAGAGCACACAGTAGAACTATTCTTCCTCAAGCGATGTGGAGTTGATGCAGGAGAAGAGGAGAAAACGGTTTTCTTCTTTGTCATGTACTTCCAGTATGGGGATGGTTTAGGAATATTTTTATTATCTTTAACTTTTTAAGCATCGTTATTCCATAGTGACTGCATTTTGAAATCATCAGAACATAAAAACCCCATGCAGAAGGACATGGACAGCCTCAGACAAATTTGTTGTGAATGTTACACCAGCCAAACCATTCCACCAGCACCATAAAATATTTACATAAGCTATGAACTATAAAATACTTTCACATGAACTATAAAATATTTACACTACCAACATCAGCTAGGGAAGAGTGATGTGTTATCAAGCTGGTGTGACCCAGCAGCAACAATTTTGTGGCAACAAATTAAATAAAACTATTGCAAATCATCTGGAAACTTACAGGGAATATTAAGTTAAACAAATTACTGCTTCCTGGTCTCTTGTATTGTACACATAACCAGGAAAGCATAGCCTATATGCTTGAAGCTAAGTTTTACCAACAAAATAAACGAAGATTATGTTCATAATCAAATTGTACTGACCTCTCTGAACGTTCCTTCTAGCAAGGTGTCCAGATGTTGAAGAGGAGCAGGAGTTTTATCTTTAAATCGTGTCAGCAATCGTCGCTCAATAGCTCTGAATTGTATGGCCCTTTCAGATAACAGCTCCTGAAACTTTTCAGCATTCAAGCGTAGCTGCAATTAAAACATTTTCAAGAATTCAGATTAAGGGTTATATGCATTTTATATGTCCATTCAAAATGAAATGAGGAACTTACAGTAAAATTCTTGAGAGCAATTACTCATTCAAATACCATTGGTGTGGTTAATTTTATGCTCCCTGTGAAACTTACTAACACTTTCAGGAATCACTATTTGCTACTTAAGTCAAAAATAATTTCCAACAGCCAATATAGTATGTACTAATGCGTAAGTATCTCATCAAAGAGCCTATCAGTAAGAAAGAAATTTCACCACCAGAATCTCAAGGGTTTCTGCTCAGATTCACGTACTATTTGATACACACATCCAGTGGACTAGGCTTGTTATTAATTACTGTAAAAAGTAAATGGTTATTCCCCTAAGCATGAATAAAAGCAATAAATTCTGCACTGACTGAATGACTTCTTCCTCTGAAATGAAATCTTTTCATTTTCTCATGCATCTATCAGGTACAGCTTTCTTGAAACATTCACAAAACACTGAACATCATATATTAAATGCCCAGGTAATAAAAATTTCTGTTTTATTTTATAACCAGCTTTATATTTTCTGTTACAAACCTCTAAAACAAGCAAGTCCCTAACAAAAACTGCAGTCTTCAAAATAATATCATTTGTATAGCTAACATGCTATAACTAGAATCAGAGAAACACACAATCATAGAATGCCTTGGGTTGGAAGGGGCATTAAAGACCATCTAGTTCCAAACCCTGCCATGGTCAGGGCTGCCACTCACTAGGGCCCAGGGCCCCATTCAACCTGGCCTCAACCAGCTCCAGGGATGGAGCATTCACAGCTTCTCTGAGCAACTTGTTCCAATGTCTCTCCATGATATGAGTAAAAAAATTTCTTCCTAACATCTAATCTAAACCTCTCCTCTTTCAGTTTAAAGCCAACCCTGCCCTGTCAGACTCCGTAAGAATTTCATCTCCCTCTTGTTTATGAGCTCCCTTTGAGAACTACAAGGAATGAATGACGTCTCTCTGGAGCCTTCTTTTCCATAGGCTGAACATGTTCAGCTCCTCCAGCCAACCAAAAAAGGAATGGAGCATCAGATCATTTCAGAGTAAAGGTACAACTCATAACTTTAAGAAATACCCAGTGCTGGAAAAAATGTCATTTGCTCAGATACATCTTCACATTTTCTGAAAGACAAATTGTTACATGCCTGTGATCACAGTTTTAAATGGATTGTTCTTAACAATAACAAATAATCTTGAACTGGGACAATAGCAGCTATTCATATGCTGTGTGACACACCTCGAAATGCTGATCAATTAGTTCAAAGTATTCTTGCAGAGGAACAGAGCCAGAAAAGGTACATGCAAAGTCCTTGCAATTTTGCTTTTTGAAATGTTCTTCCAGTCTAAGTGTTAATTCCTTTGTTATCAGCCAAAGGTCTTCCAACTGATCACTCTGGATCCTGTATCGTTCTTTGAAAAGAAGAACAAGTACAAGACTAACAATACGTACATTTAAGCCATATGCATTCACTATACAACATAAATAATACATAGCAATGTAACTAACTTTATAAATACAAAGTCTGTAATAGGGATTTTCACAGAAGATACATGCTCACTAGCATTAAAGCAACTTCTGTCCTGTATCATGGGCCTGTTCACAAAGCACAGATAACTATGAACTACTACGAGAAGGAAATGAGAATTACTGGATGATATTAAGACCTAACAACAGGCTGCCTGCATTCCCTGGCATAATGCAGCCTTAACAAGTTTTTCTGGGCCTGGAGGCAGAGTCAGGCTCAATTCACTTTGGATCATGAGAGAAGCACAGCATCCTCAGCAACTGGTAACAGTTGTATCAAACCAACTACATTCCACATAAAATCTTGAATGCCTTTTGGAAACATAGATCTTGAGTTCTTGGACAATACATTCACTAATATAATTTTTAGTACTTCTCTATTTCCTATGATATCTTCCAGTGGGAAACTGTTAACCACTCTGTAATCACAGGTAACAATATTTGGCTTTCTTAGCGCTCTGCTTCACTCTAGCAGATAGTATTAATCAGTGTCTTATCGATCCAGTATACAATATAGTTTTGTTAATGTAGCTTAGTGTAGAAAATGTTAACACAATTGAAATGAAAAAACACACAAAGATTCTGTTAGTGTTCTCTATCCCAGCAAGTTCATTCATTATCACATTTTAGTGAATTTCAAATTATGAGGAGAACAGGGTGAGATCTTACTACTGTTCTGCTTCTACTCCATTTTTTTATAGTTCTGTTTTCTGATTTCATGATATGAGAACTAATTAAATATTAAAATGAAAACTGTTGTGGATAATTGTGTCTTTTTTTTTGTCTGATACATTTTCTAGCAACATTATTTTATTTCTTGGCATTACCCATAAATGTTATCGAAGGGAAAGACAGAAAGTCAACTATGAAGAAACAGAGTTGAGGTTTTTTGATACAAAACAATTCTTTTTTTTCAGTCTCATCAATAAGGAACACAGTATATCAAATGAAGCAAAATTCTTTAGAAGTCGAATGCACTATTTAAATTTTTCTCAACATCAGTAATTCAAATTGTTTGACATTACCACTGGCATCCTTCCCAGGATACACATTTCACTGAATAGAAAATGACAAATTCTGTTTACAGTGTAACAGGAAAGAAGCAAGTTTTATTTAAAAACATGTCTGTTAAAGAAAAGAACACCATCTGCTAAAGATAACATTCAACCTAATACCCATATTTTTAAATACTCTCAATGTAATGGCTGGGTTTAGTTCAATTTATTATCATACTTTGCCTTAAGTGATTTTTCCTTAAGGGAAATTAGCTCAGATGTTTTCAGACCAAACCAACAGACATTCCACATATAATTGACATGTCTAATATATTAATGACTGAAATTGATAAAACTAATTTCCTTCAAAAAGCAAATTTAGGTTCACTGTTTGTTGGTCAATACAAACAAAATCTAATTTTATCACGACCTGAGTAATCATTTGCTTTACATGACCTTCCAGCACTCAAAAAGAAAGACAAATTACAGTTAAAAACTGTAGGAAAGTGAAATTCCTTAGAAGCACTGAGTATGTGCTTTAATACAGAAAAAAATAGAAATAGAAAATAGAAAAAAACTTTTACGGTTGTTAACCTATTTGTGTTAGGCTTTTGTTAAAATAAGATTTCTTACAGAAAATTTACAATTGATTATTTTCAGAAATACTCTCAAACAGAAAAGCAGAAGACTCAGAGGATCGTTAATAGGTAACAAGGGCTTAAACATCACAGCAGGTAGTACTACTAGTTCACCCTGCAATAAGCATGATTAGTTGCCCTGCCAGCAGCTTATCTGCAAGAAGCCTGGAAGATTCAGTTTGCTTCTCAGCTAGGAAGCCCTTGCCATGAGAAAAAACAATGACAGGTAGCAGTCAATTCTTCTTTACCCTTTGATTAAAACCAGTTTCAAAGACATTTCAACAAAAATATTAAAACTTTAATCTACACAGGCTAAGTTCATTTTAACTTCCAGCTGAAAAAGAACTTCATTCTGGGTGTCTTTACAGCAGACATTTTGACATTTTGACAAGCTGAAGTAACATCTTCAATTACTACACTGTTTACAATGGATTAAATAATTAAAATTAATTTAAAAATTAATTAATTAATATAAGTGTGAATACAGATGTCATTCTTGTCTGCAGCGTCAGCAGTGAAACCCAACCCAACCTGGAGACTTTCACTTCTACATGCAGCCTTTCCCATCCAGAACTTAAGGCCTATTCAGAAAGGAATATTGCAAAGATGTGTCCATTGTCCAAGACTAACTTCTTTCATGGAAAAAAAGGAACAAGGGTCAACCAGCTCCAGTGATTTATATTTTTTTTCTATCACTATTTATCCACATATACAATTTTCTTTTTGAAGAACCTTTCTACAATGACTGTGCAACACAATCGCTTCTATAAAGTAAAAACTCAGCAGTATTATTTTGGTAGCAAACTAATAGTACCTTCCAAATAACACACCTTCATCCACGTTTATTAGCTCTGTATAGGGTCTGCCTACTCAAGCACAGTAATTCTAGTACTACAAAAGTCTACCAAGGAATGTTTTTGTATTATGGATAGCCTGTGCGACCCCCCTACATGCCCCACGCCGAGAAATTCCATAACCAATTCAATCCAGTGCATGTGGAAATGCTGGAAACAGAGCATTACATGGAAGTAGGCATCACGTAACTCATTTGTTTTCTAAAGATTCCCAGACAAGATAAATGAGTAGTCACACTAAGAGAAAAAGTTGTTTGAATCTCCTTTGTAAAGTGAACAAGTAATGTAGTGTGGGAAAGTTTATAGTAAGACTGCAAGCGTCATTCTTAGTGAGTGACTAAACAAACCTGTAGGAAAAACTTGAGGGTTTGCATGAACAAACTAGAAGTTATAGCCTCACTAGAAGTTGAAATATATTCATTACAAAGATAAATTTTCCCTTGCACAGTATCATCAGACTTTGCAATAATTCAAATAAGAGGTTTAAATGGTAATCCATAAAAAGGTACTTAAAAATCCCTTAAATTCTTCAGTTTCTAGAACCTATCGCTGTATGTCTAGCCAGTGCAAACTTTTGAAACCTACTGTCTATTCAAATAAATATTGAAAACAAACTAACAATGAAACAGCACGCAAACAGTGCGTAACAACTAATACAAATGGATTCGAGCCTTAGAAAAGTAAAGTGATGCTTGGTACAAAGAAAGTCCTTTAATAACTATTTTCCAGCTGGTTTCTGTATGTAACACATCTGACTACATTATAAAGAGCATTAAATATTATTTCATAGCATGCAGTTGACATCATCATCATTTATTTATCATGAATACCACATTTTGAAAACACAGTGAGGCAGATTATTTTTGTGTTGAAAGAATTTCTGATCAAACTAGACACTAATTTTTCACTTACTCAAAATAATTTTCATAGAGCATTCAATGTTCCATTTGAACTCCCTGCAACATGTGATTGGTATTTTAGCTTTTCAACTTCTCAGTTTGCTGTAATAACTGAAGAATTTCTGCTTTATCAGCACTGAAAGTACTAAATACAACTGAATTGATTTTGTTCCCACGCACATAACAAGGAAGTTTAGCAAGTTGAGTTGCAATGCAAGACTGTAACTCTCTAACATTAAGAAAGCTGACTTACTTTATTTTAGAAAGAGCACAAACACAGAGATCATTGAAACACGACTACTTAATGCACAAACTGTCCTGTACACGAGATGCTGGACAAGATAACAGCATATCTACATGTATCTTCACACATTCCATAAGCATGGTAAGAAATACAGAATCAACATGATTGAATCCATAGCCCTAAATTTAATGATTTACTGGTAATTACTGATACTGGCATTTACTTAGAGATGCACCTGAATACGGTTAGATGCCTAATTAAAGTCCAGCATTACTGAAAGTCAGTGGACAGTCAGAAATCAGATTTGTAGTCTTTTTTTCACAAATTCCAGTAGATGACTTCCAAACAGAGGTCTTGAAATACATTTGAGGAAAAGAGGTGGGGTTTTTTGTTCCTTTGCTTTTCTACATGATCATAGTAGCAGTATTAATTCCTGATTTTAAATACTGCTAAAATAACAACAAAAGAAAAAACAATTTCTCCAATGACTGCATAGAATACTCATTATAATAACCAAGTATAATTTTTGCTTCATTTCAAAATCTTGTGACTACATCAGCAATATGATTAGATATTTGACAGGGGATGCCAAGACATGATCTGTGAAAACTTCTAAGTTCCTCTGCAAATAATTAGTCATTTTTGTATGATTCTCAGTTTGCTCACACGCTATCCAATTAACTTATTATCTATTATGTTTTACAGGACTATAGACTTCTACATTTTAACAGCACTTACGTGATGTTTTTGAAGCAAGAAGAGTGATTTTTGAACCTGTTAAGAACTGAAATCCCAGAACATTTGCCTGGTCTTCCTCAGATGGATCAGCAAAGTCTAAAAGAGAAAATGAAATAGTTGTCTATAATTTAGCTCTCACGTACAACAAACTTCAAGCTACAGACAGAACCATATCAACCTCTGCCTTTCCTATACTACTCATGCAATCTGAATTGCATGACATTGCCTCCCCCCTGAGAAGTACAGAATATCAGGAGTAAATTACTATATGTTCCCACTGTTCACGTGAAGTTGAGCTACACTCAGTTCTTACATGGAATTGCCTAGGCTTGGTAAACAGAATATAGCTTTCTCAGAGGTTCAGTCTGTGTCATCTAGTAAAAATTGCCTCCTGTCCTGGACACAACAGTGCAGGTTGTCTTTTATCAGGCACCTAAGCAAAAATTATCATCATGATAATGTTCAAGTACCTTCTGGTTTCAGCCCTCAGCAAAGAGGACAACAAACAGCTAACTTACTAGTATTAGTTACTCAGCAAATCTATGCATGCCAGCATCTCATTTCAATGCATTTATTAGACCACAATAACTTCAAATCTAATATAGAGCACTTTCAGAACTATTCCAAGGAATCTGTCCTACTAACTTCTCCTTAAAATAAGGTAGAAGAGGAAACAGGAGAAATACCATTTTTACTAAGGAGTACAACAAAATTGTAAAGTTTCTCCAAAGACCATATTATAAACAACTTATAAACATGCTATAAACAAATATGATTCATATTTCACCATTCCATCAGACTGCCCTTCTGCTGCCACCTGTCACACAGCAACAAAATGTAACAGACTATTGGCTGGAAGGTTCAGCCCCTCCTGCCATACCACCAAAATCCACCTCCGACATCATGGGCCAACACAATAAAACAGGAGGCACTGCTTTTGGAGCAGACCTTGTACTACATAATCTTTCCAGAAACAGATGCAGCTCCACCTTAAAAACACTGCATTGAAACTGTTGGCCCACACAGCACTCATCTCATCAGAAAACTGTTCCAGAACCTTTGTCCTCTGAAGTTCAGAACTTTAATCACTGCCAGATTGAACTTATTCACTATCACTTTATAAGCCCTGTTTATTCATTTTCCTTCTTTTTTTTTGCCAGTGTTTTATTCATCTAAATGAGTAATTCTCTTTTAATTCTCTTCTTCAAATCCCCAGGCAATTCTCATAGCCTTTTCCATACTTTTGAGTTTTAATTCACTTTCAGTATCACCAAGCAGAACCCAGTACTGCATGCCAGTGCATAATAACTTATTTGTTTCCATCCTGGAACCATTTCGTCTAATCCATCCTAACTTCTTACTGGTTCACTTATGCTCATACAATATTGTACCACAGAATATTCCTGTGATAACCTCCACCTTTTCTATCTCTTCTAAATCATGAGCACATAACTACAGCAGAATTTCTTTTTATAATACTAATTCATATTTTTTCATTAATATTTCACTAGTCCTATATATCACCTATTTCTATTACTATATTACTCTTGCAAATATTATACATAATTCACCTCAAGACTTTCACAAATCTTTCTCCAAAGCAACTGTACCAATTTGTGACATGCTCCACCCTGTTTCTTCTTCATATCTCATGACAACCCACACAACCCCCCAAAAATGAATGCCCACCTTCTCGCCATTAAAACACCACTGTTGCATTTTGTATCAAATTATTATCTGGATACATAAAAAGTAGATCTTGGTTCACATTCCCTGTATACAAAAATCTTCAGGTTTTAATCAAAGTCAGATACACTAGACAAGGTTAATTACCTACTTTGAAATGTTATTCCATCATTTTTTTTCATGATGTAAACTTTAAACATCCTCCTATTAGTTTTGTTAATTATTTCATAATTTTCTCGCAAACAATTCCTGCCTGAGTTTCTAATACATCTCCTGTCAGAGGCGTATTTTAAAACCTACCTGGAAAAATGGTGAGAAAACTGATGGGAGGTTTATTGGTATCAATAGTTAGCTTGTGGTTTGCTGATTTTGAAGGTTGAGCTGGAAAGCAAACTAATCGCAAAGGCAGCTTGAATTTACACTGGGCAAACTTCGGTATCCCTAAAGTGAAAGAACACACACAATCATCTTTCATACCCATATTCTGAATAAAAGATATTTCATGCTGCTGTCCTGAAAGGAATTACAAGGTATTTATAATGCAATTAAAGAATATCCTATAACAAAATCTACAATTTTTGTTTTAATTTACACTCCATGTACAACAATTTTAAACTTGAACACCTTATTCACCTTTGGAAGGGAGTATTTATAAGTAAATGGGAGGCAAACATTACCCAAATCCACTGCATTCCTGCATTCACACCAGTTAACACGCAGTAATAGTTTACTTAACTCTTCAAACAATTCCATTTCAATACATGAGACAGCTGCACGACTGTCCCTGATGCTTTGAACACTAAATTGAAACATGTATTTTCATCAGGAACATTCCCAAAAGACTTCCCTCATAAGAACAGTCTTTTTTTTTGTTACTTTTATACAAAAATTGCACCGACTGTTCACCAAAAAGCATCAGAAGCTGCTTGTACATGACATCTCTTTCTAACAAAAAAGACAGAGGTGCAAACATAGAACTTAAAAATCCCTACCCAAACTACGGACAAAACAAATTAATGACCTGCAAAACTAGAACTAGAAATCTCAATTGCCCACCTCTGTGTACCTCTCCACATTTTCTAATTTAAATCAACGCCTCCAAATATTTTTTTGGATATAACTTCCAATTTTGTTGTTATTCTTCTTTTATTATTATTTTTTTTTAAATCAGAATATTCGCTTACGACCATTTTGATAATAATACACTTCAATAATAGTATCAATAATAACGAAAGCATATTAAGGGGAGTCCAACTCCATTTAACAGCCTTCACGGCATCAATGTAAAATCCCAGAATTGCTACAATGTACCTCTTTCTCAAATGAGATTTAACTACAAAATAATAGATCTGGATTTAATGAATAATGCTCCTAAGCAATCTGGTTAGCCCCCGCTTGCTTAAATGTTGAGTTTTTATTCATTGCAGTACATAAAATGTTATCATGCAACTCATAGAACACGTAATTTTATCAGAATGGTGCAAGAGAAAGGAGGAGGTTTTCACACTAACAAAAACACAGTCATTAGAATGGGTGAGATTTGCACAGATCTAAGCAAAATTTAAAATGGTTGGCATGTCAGATGATGCACAGTATGTTCTACGTGAAAAATGAAAATGCTGGGGGCCATGAAATACAGATTGCTTGTTCTTCTGGACAGCCAATCTGTATGGCTTTTTCAAGCAGGACTTCTTTGATGAAGCAGCTAATTAGCACTGCTTTGTTCAGGTACAGATATCATTATAGAGACTTACTGAGAATAGCATTAACATCATAATAACAAACACTCATCATTTCCCAAAAATATGAAATTCAGACACTCACTCCAACAGAAATCAACAAAGAACATGTTTAACAATAGCATAACAACTTACTGTCATGGATCATACCAGGACAGAAGAGTCATGAAACTAAAAGCTACACAGGCTGTCAGTCACGTAAGCTGAGAAGTCTAATATATAAACATAGCTCAGCTGTTTACAACATCTACAGCAACGTTTTTTGCTAACATTTGGTTTGTTTGCTACTTCACAGATCTCTTGCAAAGAAAAATTACTGCAAGGACTTGTCTTGGAGGAAGAGAGGTTGTTACTAGAAAGCTGAGATTCACCCAGTTGCTTCAGTTCATTAGCACTTTTGCTTGGCTAATAATGCCTCCAAGTAGCTGTTCAGCAGAAACTTATTAAAAAATATAAAAAAAAAAAAACACTGTAGAAACAGCAGAAAACTTAACAGAGGTCCCAAAATTGGAATAACCCTGGGTTGCAAGGAAAATTCCTGAAAATAAATCCATGACCTTTCAGAATGACTCATTCAAATCATATCTTCACAGTCAGATGGAAAAAATAATTAAAATATTTTCTTGATGAAAACATTATACAAACATCTTAGAAACATCTTACTATTAAGAACTTAGGGAGTATTGTCAACAGGAAAAATTTAGTAACGAAACTAGCCAAAAGAATTCTGAAATGGTTTTGTATTTTAATAGATTGTGTTCTTATTTCAATGCAACTTCTAGATAGCCTGTTACAAGTCTGCCTATCTGAAATATCGAAAGTTTTTTCAATAATTCAGAGAAAATTCAGATGGAAACTAAATCAAATGGTATCTAGCTATGAAGTTTTCTAGTTGATGAGTCCATATCATCCATAAAAACCATTTACATAAGAAACCAAACCAAAAAGCTCCAGCAAAATTTATCACCACAGTGAAAAGCTCTTATTGAAGTATTCAGTTGAAATGCCATGATTGTTAGGTCTGCTGGAGTGATTTTAAGTGGCAGTACGAATAAAAGTGGCAACAATGTGTGGAAAACGGAGCTTCCTCAGTTGTTGGATATGATCTCTAGTGATGGATTTCCCTTCATTCAGAGCTGGGATACATTTAATGATATACAATTCTAGTACCGTATTAACAAAAAACAAAAAATTGAAAAAATATACTTCTTTTTGTGGGATTCCCCCTGCCACATACAGAAGTAAAACTGAAAAGCAACAGGAATTTTATAAAAGGTTACCTCAGAACAACTGTATTATTTGAATTAATTCACACTATGCACTTACAATCTATCAAAACAGTTACATAGCACCATCGTTAAGATTGCATTTTCCAACAACTTCTTTATCCAATTTTAATCACGTCAACAACATCACATCTGATGCACATAGTAAAAAAACAAAGAATTCAAGTGCAGATCTCCAATTTAGGATGTTAAACATGCAGAAAACCCATGCCTTTTCTGGTACTGATGAAATGAATTTAACCAGTCCAGTGCACCTCAGACTAAACTAAAATTTTTGCTGGGAGATTCACCAAGCTCCACAGCATTCTCTTCAGCATCAGCAAGTTTTCATATGGAGAACTAATTTCTTAAAAGAGAGAATCTTCAGTTTAAGAAAGTAACCCTTTCGAATTACACACACATTTTAAATATTTTTATTCACTTTATTTTTATAGTATTTTTTTTAAATTACTTAAGAGAGGAAAAACCTGCCTTAGGGATGTAGCTTTTTTTCCAAAAAAAGAAAATAATTTTACTAAGATGGTTCAAGAAACTATTTCTGCTAGAACCCCTGAAATATGCAGAAACCAGAAGAGGAAGAGAACTGTTAACAGTTATCTACCTTTCCACTTCTCTTGATATGCTCCCTGGAACATCAGCATTGAAAGACAAAACTTCAACACGTACAAATGTTAGCATACTTATTTTTAGGAGAAAACTGCAAACTGAAGAAATAGTTATCTCTAAATCCATGACAAACAATTTTCCCTCAAACACGGGTGAATTTGTGTTTAATATGTATGTGATTTTTTCAGTCAGTAAGCACCCTTACCTATCCCATATATGCACACAACTACACTGCATCTTTCCTTCTTTTTAGCCCATTTATATGCAAAGTACTTTCACATCCTGCTCTGTCTTTTAACTGAACCTTTTGTAAATACCATATCTACCACCATGACCATTCGGTTTTGCACTGATTGTGCCAGTTGTAAAGTTGCCTTGTAGCCTTGAAGAAGAGATTTCTAAAAGGAACTGGAATGAATGGATGTTAGTGACATCACTCTCGGAGCTATTCTGTCCAAACAGCATGGAGTTAGCTACAAAACCTTAATGGCTGTTTCAGTTGCACAACAAAAAACAATAAAAAACCCACAGCTGTGATTTTGCTACCCAATGAGTTCTTAGTGAAGGTTGAATAGAGAGCTAGAAATACAATAACGAAGGAACATATGATTGTGCTTTCCATCTCAAGGCACAAGATATTATTTAGTACATTGTAAGATTTCTATATGCTATATATGTTAAAGTGTGACATACTTCAACATACTTCATACTGCAGATGTCTTTACTAGTTTCTGTTCTCCCATGAATATTTTTTTTTTATTTCTAAGCCTCATTTACTTCCAAATTTCTCAGATATTCACACTTCCGTAGCACCACCTATCCAAGGCAAGTAGAAAAGCTTAAAGAAATAATAGGTGATGTAATAGCTCACTTCCAGATCTGCTTTATTCAGTATATGCTCACTCATGAGACCATTCACACCTGATTTTTCCATTCACTTACCTTCAGGATTGAGCTCTACCGTATAACCAGCAATAGCACAAAAGGGAAAAAAAGATAAAAACATAAGATGCTACCCTAATAGGAAAGAAAAGAAAATGTAGTAACAGGTTTAAAAGAAATGACTGTTAAGTAGACAATGCATAAAAACCTGGTAGTATGAGCCAAAAGAAAACAGACATGAGACCACATTCATCAATAGCACAATTCAGTCCAACTCCGTGACTCATATTAACATTCAGCTGTATGAATCCCACAGAGATGCACTGAAGACTGATTTGGCCACAAATATGAAATGTTAAAGAAGAAAAAGTCTGTATTCAGATAAAATAAAGTCTCAAAGGCACTCAATTTGTGTGTCCTAGTATATTACTTAAGGATTTATTTGCCTTGTACAAGCAGAATAAACTCTGCTTTTTTATGTAATTGAACAGAAAAATTTCACTTAATAATATAAATGAATATCCAAAATTTTGTAAGATCTTAATGTTTATGCTCTTTTATTTAGAGGTTTTGTAAGTTCTATAACCGATTTTCTTTTTGCATTATTATTAATTTTCTTCACTGATTTTGTTAGGTATCATGTTTTCTGGGGATTTTTTTATTGTATGCAAGTAATCAAACGTATTCAAGATATAAGGTTTCTTTACCTTCCTACCTGCAAAATTCAACCTAATAACTAAAATACAAGAGATGTAACTAATATAATTGAATTAAATAATAACACATCCATCTGGCAATAAGAAAAAACACTTAAATTTGATATTCTCATCTTGGAAAGCAAAGTCACCGACACAAAACCAGCAAAACACAAAGCATGCTTTCAGAATCAGAGGATCCAAGACACTCGAGAGAATGCTATCTATAAAGGCATAGCTGTCTAAAGCCATACCACTTTAAATTGGATACTTATGAAGTTACAGCAAGTCATTCACAAGGCATAAGCAGTCTGAAAGTCACAAAAAACGAGGACTGAAGTAGTACAAGCCATTTGTGTAGGCTCTTAAGAAAAAGGGAGGAATATCCTTTTCCTTCCATCCTCTGCCCATACCTTCAAGCCCAGTCTAACAAGGGCAAGATCAAGTTCTTAAAAAAACCCGTGAGCTTCTATTTTGTCTAGAAGTACATAACTACTTTAATAGTTGACACACAACGTAGACTACTGTCATAAATAAAATGTTTCAAGTAAGAAGTGATGCTTAAATAAAAGAACATACATAGGATAATGTGCATTTCTTTGATGCTAGCTCACTCTGTGTTACCATCCCCTTAGTGCTGGCACAGCTCTGAGTGCACGCAAGGAGCCAAATCAGCAAATCTGGCTGAGTAATAACTTCTGATTGTATGAGCACAACAAGGGAGGAGGTGCAGTGCAAAGCCAAGCAGTGAGAAGTGAAGAAAGAACAGATTGCTTCAGCTGGGCTATGCTGCGTTTATCGTAACTTGGAAGCCCTACATAGAGTTCTTCGTGTAGCCTAACACATATTCCTGAGGCTGTGTGTAGCAAACTAAGTAAACTAGTCTTCACTTATGGATAGCAGGGCAAATTTACATATTCTATAATTAGAGTCACTAGGGCATTATAAAATAGAATGACTTAATCTCTATTCTTACAGGTCACTTTATTTGTTTAGAATGAATACGTTAAGCTGTTGTTAAAAGGGAAGTGAGGAATAATCACTCCCAATGCTTATTTTCTTCCTCTGTAGGGAGGCAGTTATTGTCACATTTGCTGGCAGCCCCAGAAGGCTGAATAGTCATAAAGATGTAATTAACTTCTCACTCCAAGAGGTGGTCCCTTAAAGAGCAGAACAGAAGCAAATTGATCGGCAGAGGGAAAGCTGGTACAGCTGCTTCCCAAGCCATAAGATTATGAATTTACTGCTTACATAACTTGATGATGCTACAAAAAAAAAAAAAATAAAAGCAGCAAGACAAGATTCTGATATACATTATTACACAGAACCACAAAACTGCAGATTTTGGACAGAACCTCTGGAGATCAAGTCCAACCTTCTGCTAAAGCAGGTTCACTATAGCAGGTCACACAGGAAAGCATCCAGGCAGGTCTTCAACAGCTCTAGAGAAGGAAACTGTGCATCTTCTCTGAGCTGCCTTACTAGCTCTCTGTCATCCCTCAAAGAAAAAATTTCTTCCTCTTGTTTGTATGGAACCTCCTGTGCTCCAGTCTGTGCCTACTGCCCTTTGCCCTGTTGCTGCACACCACTGAAAAGAGCTTGGCCCCATCCACTTGACTCCCACATTTCTGATATTTATGGACAGTGATGAGACCCCCTTCCCCCTCTCCCTGCTCAGTCTTCTCCAGGTCTCTCAGCTTCTCCTCCTATGGGAGATGCCCCTAAATATGACTGTGGCCCTTGACTGGATTCTCTCTAGATGTTCCCTGTCTTTCTTGAACTCAGGGGCCGAGAACTGGACAGAATATTCCAGATGTGGCCTCACCAGAGCAAAGTAGAGGGGAACATCGCCTTATTTGACCTGATGGCCACAGCCTTTTTAATGCACCCCAGTATACCACTGGATATTTTGGCCACAAGGGCATACTGCTGGCTCATGTTCACTGGAACCCCTGAAGTCCTTTTGCAGAGCCCCTTTTCCAGCAGGTCAGTCCCTGCTGTACTGATGCATGTGGCTATTCCTTCCCAGGTGCAGCGCCCTATACATCCTCTTGTTGAAGCTCATAAGGTTCCTCTAAGCCCAACTCAACAACTCACTCTGTCTAGGTCTTCTTGACTGGTAGCAGAGCCATCTGCTATATATTTCTTCCATTACTATTTGCCTTTAAAGTTTTTCAAAACAAAGCTCACAAAAAACATGTAAAGAAAAGACCTTAAAAAAAATTTGTAATCTTCAAAGGCTTACCTGTTGGTGTATTACATGAAAACACACAATCTCCTTCTAGTTCTGATGGAGGAAAATTTCCCTTCAAGAAGACAGACAGGACCACAGTTTCAGATAATCCTGGATCTAAACAAACAAACAAAAAAATTACATCAAATAATAGAAGCATCCACATGAAAGCAATACACTTTCCATATCCAGGAAACTTCGAGGAAATACTTTGTGAAATTAGGATAGTTATTTCCATTCATTTACCTTTATCCCTTAACAAACTACAATCTAGTCAGAAAACTCCAAAGCAAATGTTGTTTCATATGGCAATTTTAATATCCTACAAAGCCATTTGTTCTTGTCACACGTTTAGGAAAAACAAGAACTGTCCTTTCAGATTAGAACAGCAATTCCTCTTTCAATAGGATTCAGTAATGCACAATTCAATTCAAAACTGGTCCCAACTGAGGCAGCAGGACACACTTCTCTGTTCCTCAACTCCATTCACAACCTTCAAAGAAATCCTACCTGCAATCTTAAAGGAAGAATCACCAAAAGTTATTAAGTTCTAGCGTGTTCGACTAGCAGACAGGTCAAGTTTTGTGTCCCTGCTTTTGGCTCACCAATGCCATTCTACAAAGACAGAACTGCCACAAAAATTAAAAAAAAAATAATAAAAAAAAAACACTAAAAAGTCCCCATAAAAAGACCAGACAAAAAACTGATTTTCTGTCTCCATCACTGAATTGTCACGCTGTCTCTTCTCACCTGCTACATATCATACTGTAATCATAGAAGCAACTCCACTACTATACACTTTTTTTTGTCATTTTCCACAAATGGAAGAAAGATGCTGCAGAGTGTACATAAGGCATATTTGCAACTGCTTGGACAGCAGTATCAGCAATGATTCTCTTGATGGAGGTTCAACTACAGCTTACAACATCCTTAGAAAAAGGAATATGATGCCATAGTTTTAACAGTATTACAATAACTTACCTAAATCATTAAAGGTGAACTGGTCACAGGTCACTGCTAGTGGAGCTTGGACACACACTACCAGGTACGGCTTCTGCGCCATCACTCTGCTCTGTATTGTTACCTAGAGCAATTGAAATACAGAATTATTTAAATCAAACAACAAACTGATTTGTGTATAGCAGAAAATTAACGTAACCACACGACCAGCAAAAAGACCATAAAGCCCTGCAGTGACCACTTCAGCAATGTTTAAGAACTTCAAGTTTCAACTGCAGAAACAATTTCTACAGTTCTCATTTACCTTACAAAATTAAAAAGTAAAAATTAAAAATGCAGCAAAAAAAAAGAGGTGATTTCTCACACTCTTAGTAACTTTAACCAAAGACCGTCCAATGACAAACTCCTAGTTAAAATATGTTAACATTTTGCAAATGTCATTTACTTTTATTCTCTTGTCATTTACTTTTATTTAATGTAAAGAAAAATAAAATACTGTTTCTTTTAGACAATTAAAGCAAAAAATAAATAAATAAACAAAAGCAAAGCTTTTTTATTTTTATTCCCTCCAACTATTGAGAACAATTAACGGTTTTCTGAATAATTTCAGAATTAAGCTCTATTCAATCTTCTACTATAAACAAATTTTACAACTTATTATACAGTACGCCCAGCACACCTAAATCTTTAGATTACAAGAGGTGGCCTAACTACAAAGCTGGAGTGGCGCTGGGTGTTTCTACTGTTAAGAGAGAGAACTGGTTACAAAACAAATGGTTATCAAAAGATTGCCCCTTAGTGGGTCTCTGAACATGGTCTGTACATACATGATCTGCTACTTATTATCACTTGTTTTGTGTTTCTGGTCTACCTGTTAACTCACTGCAGGCAAGTAAAATCAGTTTAGGAAAATACTCTTAAAGTTATATAACAATTGAAGTGTTAGTGGACTACTTTAAATGAATGAACAGTAACATCTAATTTGACTTAACAGCAATAAGTTTGAGCTACAGACTCAGGCCCTCAGGTCATCCATGGTTTTTTATGGTGCAAATAAAACTAGGAAGGATCACACAGAGCTCTGTGCATACACCAGGTAAACAGCTCCATTTTCTGAAAACAGAACTTTCATAAAAGAAACAGTAAAGAAGAAATCAATAGACTTAGAGATCTTATGCTAAATTCCCTAAGTACAAAAAGACATGAGAGTGCACACCTCAGAAAATTTCTGATTAAGACAGTGACATCTGAAGTTGCTACAAAACTTCCAAAGCATTACTTTAAAAACAAAATAATGCTCTTCATAAATTGCTTTTGGAGAGTATCTGCTCTGTGCCTCAGTCCCAAAAGAGGGGCATACGTTTTAAAAAGCCACTCTTGCCCTCAGCTCAGAACTATTTCAGGTCCAATGTAATTCAATGAATGCAGCTGTGTAAACCCACTTGCATTAGCTCTAAGCCAACCAGCTGGGCACTGCCAGATCTGCTGACTGCAACCACAAAAAATTCAGTGCAAGCTAATTGTCTGACTATTTATCAACTTTCTAAAGCAGCTACTATACCCAAATTGGTCATTTCAAATGTAATTTAGGCAAACCTACGCATTTTCCAGAGGGAGCACCAAGTGTAATTCATAGGGTTACTTTATAAAGTCAGATCTTCAACAGTCTCTCTAAAGCATGAAAAGGCTATAAACCACATGGAGTTGCCGTGTGACATACTCATTCTGCGACCCTCTGTCTGACTACATCTTTCCTACCTGACTCCCAATCCTCCAAACAAGTCAAGGCATTCAACTACAGTTCGAGAACTGTTCAATACTGCTTGGCTTTCTGCTTTCTGAACCTATGTCAGTTCAGACATAGGAGTCTGAACTGAAACGAATCCATTTTTACTGCACATTTTGTCAGAAGCACCTAGTTTCATTAAAAATTTTCTGAAGGAGCTGCAGTTTGTGGTTTGATAAATTCATACTTCTCTGAAGTCTATTTACATCGTGTATTTTAAGGTAGCCCTATGTTTGCAAACAGCCTAATGTACTGCCAAATACAATCAGGTCGAACGCTCAAGGTTTCATAGCAAAACCATCACAGACGTGATCAGGATTAAGGTTTTATCCTCCCTCACTGTGTCACTTGAAAATGTAGAGAAAGATGCTGGGCTGAGTACAATTAAGCTACATTAATGAAAGGAGTTCTCTTCAATTACTAGCTCTGTTAAGCTCTAAATTTTTCATATGAACTTCTCAAAAACAAAGCCCCAGTTTTCCTCCACTGGTAGTCCTAGAAAAGATTTTCAAACTCAAAAAATAAAATTATCCTACGCAATACTGAGAAGCTACACTTGCACACCCACTCTCACACTTCCTTTATAACCAGAGGTAACAGCTCTCAGGGAGGACTGCAATTACATCAATTTTCAGATTAGATTTTCCTGGCTTTTTTTTTTTTTTTTTTTTTTTTTGCACTAACAAAATTTGTGAAATTCCTTTTACAAGTGATTTCTTGCTTACTGACAACTAAAAAGGCAGCTGAAGGTAACAATCCTTATGTTTTGAGCAAATAAATATTTACCTGCTCTGCTGGAAAAACGTTCTTATTTCAAAAACTTCCCTCCACCCTTTATTTATTTATTTGTTTTTGTGGTAGCTTCTTGATAAACCTATCCAAATTCCAAACGCTTCTAACTTCAACAGAAGTCTTGCGAGATAAATACTTGTCATACGAAGGAAAAGAGAAATAGGTACATAGAAGCAGTTCCAGCTCTACTCCTTGTCATAATACAAGTGAAACACACAGAAAACACTACAAATTCCTAACATTTGCCACTATTATTCACTACGGGTTGAGTTAGGCACAGTACCTTTACTGTGACTGACGGTACCACCTCTGCTTTTACTTCGCTGTCAATGGCTTGCTGTGAAGAAAAAGATGAAAACAGAAATTCAGTATTATGCATGAATGAGTGAACACAATAAATGTAATATTACTTCCCTATCATCAACACAGCAAACAAGGAAATAACTGTAAAGGACTTACCGTTCTGACGACAGACTAAAATACACAAAATACATTTCTGAGCTCCTGAAAACGTAAAGCCTGTTTGAAATTGCCAGCCAAAAGGATAGGAATAGCTCATGAATATTGTTTATATAAGGAACTAATACACTATGATGTATATATGAATATTTGAACTGTTTTGCTTGGCACATTTCCTTTTTCTGTATATTTATTTAAATGTTGGAAATTCCTCCTGTTACTTATTAGGGAAAGGTGACTTCCAATCTACCAATGGCCAAATCTTAGCATGTACTATAAAATCACAGCACACAGCACGCAATCTTATAAACCATAAATATATTTTCAACTTCAAAAGAAACTATGGCAGGCATTTTGTTACTCATGCTTATTTCTATTTCATTAGGTAATTTCATCTAATGCAAAATTCATCTTGGCACTGCAGACTGTTTTAATATCTCGTTTTATGCACAGATTTAATTTTGCAACAGGGTCGTGTCAACAGTTTAAGAAGCTTTCCTATTTGTCTAAACTAGTTAGTTTTAAAGAAATACCTCATTTCTGCTGTAATACTAAATTCCCAGCACAAATTTACTCTCTTACGATGGGAGAAATGTTTTCAAAATAATGGTAATAAATCTTATGTGGTTTATCCACTCTTTTTCACCTCAGCATGCAAGTATAAGGTTCATATATGCAAAGTTCCTAAGAAGTCAAGAAGGTGGTAGGTTCTCTCTGGGTTCTAGAAGCAGGACTTTCATTTGTGCATTGTATACTTTTCCTCATTGTAAAAACATAGGGACTTTCATATTGGATTAGACAACTGGCTTGTCAAGCAAACCATCTCTGACAGTTACCAGTGGCTGATCCTGAAACAATAGCATGGATGCAAAGAGGCTGATCCTAGCCCTGGTATACCATATTCATACCATACCATAATCACTTCCTGTATCAGAGGCTGTACTTAGGAGATGGCATTAAATACTCTTTGCTCCTACTACACATCACAGTTTATATCTCCTCACATGAGAAGAAATATATTTGCAAACCTGTAGAAGCTCTAAAATGGTTCTCACATTTGCTTTTACTCATCCTCGTCTGTGACAAGTCTTAGAATATTTTTCCCTTCCTAGATGGATACTGAAGGAACAACCCGGAAACTTCCCTTCGGGAAGCTAAGACATCATAAAGATTAAAGGTTGTAGTTCATTCAGTATATTGAGTTACTTATATCCAAAGCAGACCACCTGCATCTGGAAGGTTGGGCAAATGAGTACAACATTACAGCATTTTGCAGGCCCAACAATTTCAAGTGTTGTGAGGAGGTTATGACAGTTAGCCAAGATCATGGCACTCTGCCCCTTTTTCTCACCAGCTAATCTTTTCCACAGGCAAGTGCTAGGCCATATTATAAGGAGGCCTCTATCAAATAATAGCAACAGCAGCAGTAGTAATAGTAATAGACTTTAAATAAAGGTATCAAATAGACTTTTGGAAGTATTAAAAAGCAGTTCCCTGTGTATTTTTAAAATGGTAGATAGTCCTGAAAATTGCTTCTGCAGAAATCAGTGGCTAGAAATGATTAGTTACATATGTTACAGTGCAATGACCATGTCCTGAAAGGCTCACATAAAAAACTTTAACCAACAATATAAACTCTCCTAAATTTGGATTTGAACTGGTTTTCATAAATTATGTTTGCATATAAGATCAATAAATTCTAGCTAGGTTGCCACACCAGAGAATACTGAGTAACACCCTGCCAGAGATTACTCATTACGATGCATCGAGTAATTAGTGCACTGTATGTGGGCAAAGATCCTGAGGGTGACACTAGTATTGCTCCCCCCCATTATTAACTGCTTTAGCAGTTCTCAATAATACAAAATTATTCCAGATTTAAGAAAGTTTCTCTTCACTTACTTTTGCTTAGCCAAAATTGAATTGGAAAGGTCACTAACTAAAAGATAGCATAACTTTAATTGCTCGAGTTAAAATGATTAACAAGAAAATTTCTGAAAGACAACTGGACGCTATGCAGAAGCTCAGTTCCAAATATAAACAAATAAATAGTAATCACTAGTTTTCAGCTATGTTTAAAAAGATATAAAGCTTATGCTATATCATGAACTGTGAAATAGGCCAGAAACAAGTGCAGAAGACATTACCTCAAATAGCAAGTATGAGTGCAAACAGTCTTAAAAACTGTTTATACAAAAATGAAGAAATACACCATGTGCATTGCAAGTTATTATATCTATAAACATGATGGCTATGATATACACAATTCTACTACAAAAATACCTCACATTTCATTGCTGTTTTCAAACCTAAAAAGTGGAAGTATACAACGTACACCCACTTACCCAACAGGCAGCCATGAACTGTAACAACCTAGCATTGCATGTGATTTTATGTATCTAACGTGCTACATAAATAATACCTATAGTTATTGACTTATTTTCTAATTTTACTTCTCTTACCCAATGTTCTGATTTGTTAAAGATGGAGGACAATCTGACTCAACTCTGCAGCACTAGAAAGTTGTCTCTAAACATTTGCTATAAAGCAAGTTATCATCCATTAACAGCACATTTGTAAGATAAAGAGAAGCATGTCAGGTAGCACTGCTTGTAAATAGAAGCAAGAAGGGCTCTCAATAAAGGGTTGTAATCTATTTTTTTACATGTACATACAGACTCCACATCCAAGTCTGGTGAAACTTCTGCAGTGACAATTAGGTCTCTGTGTTTTTCAGACTGGGGCAAAATATCTGAAAGAAAACAAGAGAAAAATCAGTAAGCTCTTTTTTGACAAACACCTCCATTTATAAAAGCAATAACAATGCCTGGAGGTTCTGAACAAAGGAAGTTCCAGGTTGGTGGGTTTTTTTCTTTCTTTCTTTCTTTCTTTTTTTTTTTTTTTTTTTTTTTTTTTAAGATTTCTATACACAGCTTAAGCCTGGATTCCATTCTGGATTTCTGATTTATGGAAAGAAAAAAAAAAGATTTAAATGCAGTCTGTGACAGGATTTTACATACGCTATCCACGATCTTCAATGGTCCCACGAAAATGGTAAGTCTTTGGTTTTGCTTTAGTTTGGGTTTTTTTGCTTTTTGTTGTGTTTTTTTTTTACTCTTTTCCACAGTTATATATATAACAGTACACCTATAATAAAGTGCCCTGTCACCAAAATACACACATTTCTCATACGGTACACTTTGATCTACATAATTTCATGATGAAAAAGCTTGGCAGCAAACCTCTGTCCGATAGCATAGTGTCACTAAAACCAATTTTAGAAATTCCTCTGCATAAAAAGGTTTACCAACATTGTTATGTTATTTGGAGCTGGTTTACACTATGTCACCTGATTCATTTGAAGAATGTTAACATGCAAGGTAAAGAATTCTACAAACTCATTTATATCCACAATGTAAAACCACACATTAAACATTTTCTAAGAATTAGAAACAAGGCATTTACATAATGCAAAAAGTTACATGCACTTTTCTAAGTGGGTACAGGGAGAAAGGAGAAACAAGGAGGGAGAAAGGGCCAGCTCTAAGGTATTTGTGTCTTCCTGGAATATACTTCTATCTCTCAAAGCTAAATGTGTTGGAAAAATGAAAAACCCAAACAGGAAATTCATATTCTCAGGAAAAAAGAACAACAAATAGCAAGAAAACTTGATGCAAAGGGGAAAGTAACATTAATTGCATAAGTAAGCACATGAGCACTTTAAGAAAGCTGCAAGAATTTTATTATAAGTAGGGTCCCAACAATGACCCACAACAAGTGGGTCATAACAGCATCTTATGCCTCTAACAGGAGAGCAGAGGGAAAAAACGCTATTGAGAAAACTAGGGAAATTAAGTTTTCATTCTGCTCCATGAAAAAGTTCCCTGTTACTACAAGGAAAAAGAAAAGTAAAATCAAAGCACATTCCTCCAACATCACCTATTAGCAATACCAATTGCACACAACTGCCAATTGCATATAACTCAGAAAAATCCCAAACAAGTAAGTTTGGATTCGAGATCTTCCTTTTCTAACCCTATTTAACAATTTCTCCTTCAGCAAAGTCTGATGCAACTTCTGTCACATTGTCATCTTTCTGCTAGAAATAAGACAGACAACAAAAACAAAGCCTATGTAAAAGCTTCATATTTTTCTTACTGTTAAACTGAGTCAAACATCTATGGTTAATCACTTAAGTCAACTAAGCTGATGTAAATATCATTAGATTTACGTTAGCTTAACAGTTGAGGAAAAGAAAGGTTTTTAAATTTTTCTTCAGTTTGTAATGTAAAACCTCCTCCAAAACGTATAAAATAACTGAAGTTCAACAGTTTAATGGTCAGCACTGAACAGAAATACACGATTTATTTATGGAAATAGCTGTTCTACGTTTTTTATATGATGACCTAATTCCAAATGACTTCCATTTTTGGAAGTCAAAATGAAACAAAGAAAAAATACTTCCATGTAAGGGTAGATGTTTTCAAAACAACACCAGCTCTCACTTACACACATGTGAATCCACAAGACAGAAAAATCAATCGCTCATTTTAAAGATCATGTTTAGAGGAACTGAATGGTGAGCAGTGTTCAAAGGTATTCCCTATTCAACTAAACATGATTAACAGTTATTTTAAGACAGCTAAGGATCTAAAATAGTCAAAACGAGACAAAGCAAAATCATTCTAAATGGAAAGCATTCCTCATAATTAAGTGAAAAGTTTTCCTTGTAGCAAAGGCTTTCTAACAGATTTTACAGCCAGTTAAATCAAAGCAAAATCCCCTTAGAGCGTATCTCCACAATGAAGAGAGCATTCCTAAAATACCTTATACCTTAAATCAGACTTGGGAAGGCCCTGATGAAGAAAAAAAAATTAAGAGCAAAATAGGAAAGTAAAAGGTCAGCAAAATTCATAGGAAACAAGTCAATTTCATACTATCACTAGAGATCTAATACTATTACTAGAGAAAGTTATAAAGGACAGTTACGTTTTTTTATTTCTCCACACGATTTTTTAAGACAAATAAACAAAAGTTTATTCACTTCACAAACAGATGTTTTCATCATGCTTGTCTTTCCTTTGGTTATAACAGTCAGATGAAACAGACTTACAATAGATGAAACCGTCAAATATTTATTAGAAGGGTGGTGGCAAAAGTAATGAAATTTTATACACATTTATGTTTAAATAACAGGATTTGTTCAATTAAAAATAAAAAAGAAAATACACTATACACTATATTATAACACTAACATTGGTCTATTACAACAATAATAAACAAAGTTATATGCAATTACATAAAAAATCTTTGCGTTGTAGAATCAAGCTCAAGACTTCAGCTTATAAATCTCATTTTCTAACAATTTTCAACAAAAAAAACCAGCAACTATTTCTTCAGTGCATATTAAGAACATGTTGTCAGCAGAAAGAGATTTCAACTGGTTCTAGTTGTCTAAGAATTTTTTTCCATAATTTGCTGTAAAATTGCACGCTTCCAATTCCCCACACAAGTCAGATTCTCTGTTTTAATGCCTCAGTTACAAAATGCAAAATTTAAAGGATATTTGTAGGAAATTGTGTCATATTCTGTGATTCTAATAATTTGTACTGAGCTTGTTCAAATAATACTTGAACAGTACAAATAATACTTGCTCAGTACAAATTATTAGAATCACAGAATATCCTGAGTTGAAAGGAAACCACAAGGAAAACTGAGTCTAACTGCTGGCTCCAAATAGGATCACCCCAAATCCAAATCCTAAGGCCAAGAGCACTGTCCAAATGCTTCTTGAAGTCCAGCAGGCTTGATGGTGTGTCCACTACAACGGGGTGAGCCTGTTCCAGTGCCCAAAGCCTGTTCCAGTGCCTTGTGTATGCAATATGTGTAAATTACATTGTTTATTTTGATCATTATGCTTTTTATATCCTTCACTATATTCTTCAAATGCAATCACTTTTGAAAGAGTCATAAAAATCATTTTTAACACAAGTCATTCGTTATTAATTGCATGATGTTTAAGAACTGAAGTAACAGAGCAGAATTTATCAATACCTCTGTTTTCTCTAACGCCTGAGAGGTATAGCAGACTTGCTGTGAAATTTCTGGCATTTACTTGCTTTTAGGCAGAGCACGCATTGTCAGTTTTTTTCCTCTAAACCTTTGCAAAAGTGATAATTACGTGCAATTGGGCACATAAATCTTGTAAGTTCCAATGGGAATTATGAAAACAGACAGAAAAATAAATTATTAACCAACCAAATGAAAACCGGTTAGTTTAAGTACTAAATAAACTAAGTAAACTAAATAAATGTGAGAAGTATACCTTGTGTTTTTGTGGCTTCCTTGATGATTTTCTGAAGCTCCTTCATTTCAGCATTGAATTCTTCATAGTTTATTTCCTTAGAATCAACCTTAGGAGCCTGGAAGAGCGAAGGATCAGTACCAAGGTAGGAACACTGCAGATGTCCACTGTCACTCAGAGTAATTATGACACCCTTCAGACCTCTGTATAAAAAGTAAAGCTCATTAAGAAATTGTAAAGAATCATTGGAGTAATTACGACATTGAATTCATCCTTATCCTACAGCTCTATGTACAAATGTAATAAGACTTTCTGGTTTTATTAAGTTATTTGACCAAGAGAAAATAACATTTATTCTTCAATTTAGATGTGTTCATCAATTATTTTATTGCAATCACACTTAAGCACCACTCTGTGATAGAAGGTTACTTAAGTATCCTGCAGGTATCTCAGAATCTGTTTAGAAAAGACTAGCAAAGGAAAGGACCAGAACAAACAAGCTAAACAAGCTAAATACACAGTACAGTTGTAACCTTTTTTTTTCCAATGAATTGTTACTCATTTTTTAGTTTTTATTTCTAAGGATGGATATTCAGGTTGGTATGCAGGAGGAGCAATTAGCCAAATGGAAAAGCAATTGAGGGAAAGGAAAGGATGCATTTAGAACAAACCACTGGTTGATGAAAAATATTCACACTGAAGACAGCAGTAAGGACTCTGAAATATCAGAAGCACCCCTTATCCATTCTTTGACTGCTACTGAAACTACAGTGCTGGCTTCAAAAACTGGCTGGCTCCTCCTTGCATTGCCTTTCAGAAAGGAGACCACATGGATCTGTATGGAGATCATATGGGTCCCAAAGTTTCCCTTATGCTACACTGGACTGGTACAAATGATTATTTTATTATCTACACGCCAGTCTATTTTCTCCCCAGGGAACACTACTTCAATCTCCAAAATCCCATCCATTTTTTTCTGATCAGATATGATGCACATAGAACATTTGAATACGTATTTAAAAAATCATGGGATAAATGAGAGCACTGCAAACGCCTTGCTCAGCTTGAAGGATATTCAAAAACAGAAGAGGAACTAAGCAGTAAAAACTAGTAAGGACGTTAACAGCAAAAAATAGGAGAAAGTTAACTTTCATTTTATTTGTAAGGCACTCAATCAAAACAGAAGTTTATATTTATTTTCATAATCACAAGACAGTACCATATTCACACCCATAATATGCTCTTATTCCATACTTAGTACCTTCCATACTTGTAGCAGGCACTGCTTCTGTTCCAAGTACAACTGTCCTTACACAAAGCAAATATATATTAAATCATTTAGTCCTTAAACATAGGGAACTTAATTTTGAGAAGAAAGCCTAATGCATTATCTCACTAATTAGATGCATATAAAACATTTCTAATATAAACGTCCTTGCCATAGTTTGCGAAGAAATAACAAAAAGGATTTTAACCATTATACATTTATGTCATTCAAGCATTTCCTCTAGTAAAATCCTCACTAAAAAACAGGTAGTTTAAAAATAATAATAATAATAATAATGCAATTCAATCTGGTTTTCTGTGGTGTCTTGAACAAGTACAACAACCAGTACAAACAAACAGGGAATCTCATTCCAAAGATTTTCAGGGTGAAGTAATCATGAAGTCAAATCAGGTGGTGCTGATGGTTTAAATTAGACATTCCAAAATGTTTTTTAAAGAATGCTAAGGCCAGTATCCAAGTGTTGGTTTCAGGATTGTGATCAAATGTTCTGGAAATAACTTCACTGTAGCTGAGATCACTCTAATTCGGTACAGTAAATCTACATACAGACCCGAGGGCTCAACTGGAGTAAGCACTACGCAGATAAGAAATTCTGGAAATTGAGGGATTTTGGGGTTTTGTGTTTATATTTCTGTGTTTTAATCCTTCCTTAGTTTGTCTTTTTCTGCAGATGCATCATTAAAACTCAAGTGTCTTCTGGAACAGTATACACACAGTAGAGACTTAAAACACATCATGTCCCTTATCATATAGACTTCCCTTAAATACAAACAGCCTTCTCTTTTGGGAAAACTGTGAAATACTATTCCTACTGTCACAGAAAAGCTTCCAGCTATCTTGTCAAATTTTTGTTTTTAAAAACTAACATTCACTACAAAGCCTATGCAAACGGTAACAGAAGCCTGTCTTTGTGAGCACCATAAGGCAGAGGATTCAAAGTCTATCCTTACAAACAGATTAAGGAAAAAAAAAAATTAGAAGACAATATTGATTTTTTAACTGACATACCTAATACCTGTGCTAGCAGCTGTCATGCCAGTGTGGTGGCCCATTTGCGACTTGGAGTCTTGGGAGTTTGCAAAATTATTTCTGACAAACTGAAAATTCTCTATCCAGAGTGAGAGGATGTGGAACTAAGTATCAGTCCTGGTCTCTCTGGTTGCTTGAATATTTGCTGCACACTGTAGTTGGCTTCCTTGCTCAAGAGTGAGTCTGTTGCTGGATGTATGAGCAGAGCTGATCAGATAGGGCTCTGTTCATCCTAGTCTTCTTATGCCCAAAAGGCTCTGTACAATGTATACCTGGGCTACATCTTCAGGATCCTGTCACAGCACATGGAACAAACACACTGGGCTAACCCTGAGCTCTTCATACAGACAGTGCAAGGAGACAGGCTATTGTAAACACTTGGGTCCTATCTCAGTCTTTGTAAGGTACAGTATGCAAATGACACCTAATACATCAGATTTCGACTAATGCCTGCCAAGCATCTGCAAAGAACTTTGCCATATTGACCCTGGCGCAGAGAAATCTTTAAGAAGGAGTACTGTAGAAGAAGATGAGGGTAGCTCAAGTTTCCAAGCTACAAAATACACTATTTCATAATTTGTTATTTAGTTACAACAAATTGTGCCTAAAATTGTGGCCATAATTACTCAAATAGTTCAGTATGAGCTCAGTCGTAAGTGAAGAAAGAACTCTGACACCTGAACACGACAACAAAATTTTAAAATGCATTTGCTGAGGCTCTAAATCCATTAAGGAAGAAGGAAAGCTCTGTGAGGACATCTAAATGTGAATAAAGGGAATGAAGCAGTACAGCTACATTGTTAGGAATACATCTCTGATGATATACCAGCAAAACATAACATATTCAAAAACAGTTGGTAAATACAGTCCTTCCTATGTATCTTTTTAATTGGCAGTCATCCGCAAATAATCAATCTATCAAATACAACCAGCTCAAATCAATTTGGTGATTTTCCTGTACAAATCAATTTTTCCTTAATGACTTGAAGTTTATGGCAGCAAAAAGAAGCTATTACAGAATGCACATTCAAAAACTCCATCCTAAAATAAACACTCTGACCAACTTTCCTGTTAGCCATGGTGCCCTTTAACTTTGCACTAGCTCAGGGACAAAATCACTGTATTAAAAAAGCAGCATTAAAAATTCTTATTTTCCTTAGCTTCAATTACTGTTCTGATGGGTCCTAAAAAGAGATTGTTCAATACAAGACATACAAATATTCTAAGAAACATTTTTCACAAATCATTCCTTGTTAGTGTTCTTCATGAATTTTGTGCATCAATAGAAACAGTAAGAGAAATATGGCTAACCAGTTGTAACATATGATTTATAATACATTAATTTCTCTGCTGGAACATTTGTCAGCCAGTCAAGATTGCTTTATTTTCTCAAGGCTTTATAACAGTGCTTAAAGATGGCAAGGGAAGGGGGAGTGTATTTAACAGTTTTATAGTAGTTTCCCCACAGCTACTGCACTCATGCAATATGCCTGCAAATGCCATTATTTATTTGGCACATTCTACACTTTATCTGGAATTTCAATTACTTGTTAAATTTCTTTTATTATAAACTTTTTTCTTTTTTTCTTTCTTTTTTCTTTTTTCTTTTTTTTTTAAACTATATATCACACAATAGTCAAAGTAATAGCAAATCTAAGGGGACATTTTTAACAGTGAGGAACTCAAACTATGAAACAAATTATTCTGGTATCTAAAATAACTTTACAGTACAAAGCAACTCCTACTCACATATGGTAATGATTTGAAAAAGAAACTATCTTTATTGGATTCTGGGTAATAAGAATGGCATGTGTTTTCTGTAGTTCTTCTCTTACTAAACAAATTGCTGACAACAACTCTTAAAGAAATTAAAATGCTTTGCATGCTTCCGATTATATAATACCAAAATTGATCACTCAAACAATTGCCTTAGAATTACAGATTCAACTTCTCCAAAGTTCTACTTGGAGGACAAGCTAAGCTACATACAAAGTCTGGCTACTTACAGTATTTATATTTAAATTAAATTAATTTAAATTAAATTAAATCTGTAACGGCAATTAAAATTTCTACCTCAATTTCAGGAGCCATCTGTATCACTGATATTACTCATAACAATAATTACAGAAAACAAAATGCTCTGCAGTGCAACTTTGTTGATAATGTATTATTTATAAACCACTGAACCATGAAAATAGTTCCTGAACTTTGCTCAAGCATTTTAAATGCAATTCTCTCTTTATCATCCTCTAAAGTAATTTATTGTATGCAATAGCAAAACTACAATTGCACTTCTTTGTTTAGTGCTTTTGGAAAAATTATCCTGAGCCTCTCTATGATTTTGAGACCACTTTGTCTGTAAGTGTGTGAAGTAGTTGATTAAATGCTGAGAGGAGACCAGACTAGTTGTAACAAATTAAGAACTTTCTTAACATGAAATTATTTGAGTAAAGGTCAAAAGCCTTCTCTGTCACTGGACACATACTCAGACATCAGGCCCTCAGCTGAATGTTTGAAGTATCACTGATGCAATTTACTGACTGCTACCGCTGATCTTTGACTGCGTACCTCTTGATCTTCCTTGTGTAACTTCGAAAATCCTTACCTCTTTAAAAATCTCCACTTGGTTTGACATCACAAAAGTAATACTTGTATGCATGTGACATTCTGAAGAGGCCATTCAAAAACATAATGTAATTATAAGATTGAATTATTGTTATTTGATCATATGCGTTCTATTAAACACAATTAAGTAGCAAATGATTTGTGCTATTCTTCCATACAAAAGCACTGTTTTTCCACTCAATTTATGTCATAATTTTGCGTTGTTGATCTTAGAAAAAAGCAGGTAAGTAGAAGTGGAAAATGAAAACTGATTTTACCACA